TGGCGAACGGGAACGGGAGCTGCCGCGGGCGGGTGGAGGTGCGGCACCGCGGCACCTGGGGCACCGTCTGCGACGACGACTGGGACTTCCCCGACGCCCAGGTGGTTTGCCGGCAGCTGGGCTGCGGCACCGCCCTCGCCGCCACCGTGCTCGGCTCCTTCGGCTACGGCAGCGGGCCCGTGCTGCTGGATAACGTGGGATGCGGCGGCGGCGAGGCGCGCCTGGCCGACTGCTTCCACCTGGGATGGGGACAGCACAACTGCGGCCACCACGAGGACGCCGGGGTCATCTGCCGAGGTGAGAGAAGGGTTTGCAGGTGTCCGGTGAAGCCCGGCTCGGTGGGAATGTCAGGGGGAGAAGGGATGTGAGGAGGATCTCGGCCACGCTCAGGCTGGCTGTGGGAAATGGGGTCACCCGAGTGGGGTTGTGGGTGAAGAATGAAATGCACAGGTTTGTCCTGCACGTGGGGGACAGCCATCCACAGCCATCCCACACCACTGACCCTGCCCTTTCCCTTGGGTCACTTTTCCCACCTCTCCTCTGCTCCACCAGGTGCTGATGACGCTGAAGACCATTTCCAAGAAGCCACTGCTACAACCACCACCTTGGCCCTGACTCGTCCCAAGGAGGGTGGGTGCTGGGGTGTCACCTGGGGACACAGTGCCAGCCCTGGGGATGCTCCATGGTGGCACAGGGTGGAAAAAGAAGTGGCTCAGGCAGAGGCACAAAATCTGGCTGTCCGTGGGATGGGGAAAAAACTGATGACATTCTTAAGCCACGGCATCTCCTGGTGCCCCCAAGGCTGGTTCAGGCAGAAGTGATGGACCTCAGGGTGGGCAGAGAAGGTGATGGACTAAAGGGGCAGAGCTGGGAACAGAGGTGGTTGTCTGTTCCTCCAACTTAACCTCCACCACGATGCTCTGAGGGTCACCCCCAGCCCTGGCAGGTGGTCACCCCCCTGCTGCTGGCTGTGCAAAAGCAGTGGGGGAGCTCTGGGCTGAACCCAGGGCAGGCAGGGAGAGCGGGACACAGTTCTGGGCACGGGCAGGGGCTGTTTCACCCCATCCCATCCACAGGGTCCCTGCGCCTGGTGAACGGCAGCCACCGCTGCGAGGGGCGCGTGGAGATGTTCTACCTGTCCCAGTGGGGCACGGTGTGCGACGACGCCTGGGACCTGCGGGACGCCAGGGTGGTGTGCAGGCAGCTGGGCTGTGGCCACGCCGTGGCAGCCTGGGGGGAGGCACGCTACGGCCAAGGCACCGGCTACATCTTCCTCGACAACCTCAAGTGCAAGGGCCACGAGCCCTCGCTGCTGCGCTGCTCCCACATCCGCTGGGACGTGCACAACTGCGACCACTCCGAGGATGCCGGTGCTGTCTGTGACATCCTATGACCCTCCCGCAGGTAAGGGGGGACAGGGATGCTGCTGGGAGCTGGAGCAATCCCACAGAGAGGGGCTGAACCCTTGGTGCTGCTCTGGACACACTCCCTGCGCTGGTCTCGTGCACGTTTGGGCTCTGAGGATGGGAGGATTTGGGTGAGGACTGGGTTCTCCTCAGCTCCTGAAGCAGTGGGTGAAATTTCCCCCCTTCCACACCCCAGACTGCCCCTTGGAAAAACAAAACTGCTTCTGGTGTGAAATCTGGCTGGTTTCAGCCATTTTTTTTTTAAGAGACAAGGAGAGAAAAATGGATTTTCTGCTGTGAAAATGATGTTAAATTATACTGAGAAAATGTAAAAAGGAGGCTGAAATCACACCAGGATGCTCCAGTGGCACTGCAGTGAGCTACTGTTGTTCTGCAATTTGCTTTTCAAGCCCTCCAGCAATCCCAATACCAGCTTTTTCTTCCCATTTTGGCACCAGAAATACCAATTCCTCCCCCATTTCCATGCAGCAAAAATGCAGGTGTTGGATCTCACACCATCTGCAATCCTTGCGCCCGTTTCACCTGTTCCTTCTGCAAACACTGTGGGGATTAGGAGAGCTCAGATGAGATTTCCCTTCCTGGGGTGCTTCAGCACAGCCAGTCCATGCCCAAAAAGCCTCCTGGGGAGTGGGGAAGGATGGGGCTCCCTGCAGTTCCCCCATCCTTCTCCATCCTGTGCCATACAGACGTGCTGGTTTTGTCTGCTCTGTCCCAAAAGCTCCATGCTCCGAGGTGCTCAGGGCAGGCAGGGAGCTGGCAGGCAGGATACAAACAGATGGAAAACCATAGGAAAGACCCCAAATCCCTTCCCAGAGCAAGGAAAGGGACCCAGGAGCCTGCTCCTTCCCCAGTGCCGTGCCTTTGGGGTATAAAGGTTGTTTTCCTCCCAGCTCAGGTGGAAAGACCCAGCCTGCAGCTCCAGTCACCTTCACCACCAAGTGTTTGATTCCTACTGGGACACTGGGAAAATGATCTCCGTGTTCTCATGGATGGGGTTCAAGGGTGGGGAGGGGCTCCTGCAGTGGCACAAAACTCACTCCTCTGTGCAATTCTTTTGTTGATAAGGGACTGTGCATATTCCTGGGTTGGGTTTTTTTTGGTTTTCACTTTTTTTTTTCTTATATGTGTTTGGGTTTGTTTTTGTGAATATATAAAAGCCCTTTGAAAGTGCTCTGAGAACTGATTTGTTTTCCTGTCATCCCCTCAAAGCCCTGGGTAAAAGCAAATGCCTGGAGAAGAGGGGATGCCCCAAACCTGGAGGAAAGATCTCAGTTCTTGCCAAAAATTGGCCCAAATCCCTGGCTGACCCTCAAGAAATCGTTAATTCTCACCCAGCTGAGAGCTCAGCTTGGACCTTTCCCCACCCCAGCTCTGGGGGTACAAGCCTGATGCCCTTCAGGCTCAGAGTTTGAGGTTGGCTCCAGCTTTGGGTTTGTTCCCAGTGGGATTTGGCAGTCACCTGAGCTGTGGGGTGGCCCTGGCCCCATGCTCAGGCTCCTGTTGGCAGCTTCTCTTCCATTGCCCATGGACAGAGCTTTCCCAGTGCTTGGATCTCAGTCCAGCTTTCCCTCAGTGGGGAAACTGAGGCATGGAAGCACCTTCCAGTCAGGCTGTGGGCGGCACAGCTGGACAAGGGCTTGCTGGTGCCCTGGGAGAGGGCAGGGAGGTGATGTGTGAGCAAAATCCTCCTTTCCCTGTGCTCCCAGGCCCTGCACGCTCCACTGCCCCCTCACTTCCCATCTCACCTCCTGCCTCCAGGACAGCTGGGCAATGCCTGGGTCCTGCTGGGAGCAGGAGTGTGAGAGCTGTCCCCAGCAGCTCCCAGGCCATCCCCACAGCCCACACCAGCTGGGGATGGGTCAGAGGGTGCTGTGGGCTCCTCCAGCTTTGCAGTCCCCTCCCTGTGGCTATAAAGCTGCAGCCTCTTGGGGAGTCACAGGGAGGAAGATAAAGGCTGGATGTGTTTTCCCTGTTTTTCTCAGGGATTATGCCTTGACCTGGCGAAGCTGGGCTGGTTTTTGGTGTTACACCACTTCCTGCTCCTCTTGAGCTGGGGAGAGCAGACCCTGGTATCCTGGACTTTCTCCCTTTCACAGCCTACAATCCGGCAAGCAAAGGGTTTCCAGACAGGAAAGGCAGCAGCTGCCTCCCTCGTCTTCCAGACTTTTCTCCTGCAGCCAGCTTGGGATGGGCTGGGATCCACAGGGATCCCCCAGACACTCCACAGCCAAGCTGAGCATCATCTCCTGTTCCTCTGGGAGCAGGGAGTGGCAGGCAGGCTGGGAGCAGGGTACCAGCGAGGGGAAGCCCCGGGGCAAGGAACTGGCTCTGCAGCAGGATGGCAGCACAGGGAACGCTCTGGAGCTTGGTAGCAGCACAGAGGATGCTCTGGAGCAGGGCAGCAGCACAGAGGATGCTCTGGAGCAGGGCAGCAGCACAGAGGATGCTCTGGAGCAGGGTAGCAGCACAGAGGATGCTCTGGAGCAGGGTAGCAGCACAGAGGATGCTCTGGAGCTTGGTAGCAGCACAGGGAATGCTCTGGAGCAGGGTAGCAGCACAGAGGATGCTCTGGAGCAGGGTAGCAGCACAGGGAATGCTCTGGAGCAGGGTAGCAGCACAGAGGATGCTCTGGAGCAGGGCAGCAGCACAGAGGATGCTCTGGAGCAGGGTAGCAGCACAGAGGATGCTCTGGAGCAGGGCAGCAGCACAGAGGATGCTCTGGAGCAGGACAGCAGCACAGAGGATGCTCTGGAGCTTGGTAGCAGCACAGAGGATGCTCTGGAGCAGGACAGCAGCACAGAGGATGCTCTGGAGCAGGGCAGCAGCACAGAGGATGCTCTGGAGCAGGACGGCAGCGTGGGGGGTGCCAAGGGTGTGAGAGCATCCCACCACGGGAGCACAGCCAGGCTGCAGCGGCTGCGTGGGAGCCGGGAGAAGCCGAGTTCCTGCCCAGCTCCCATCCTCCTGCCGACATCAGCTGTTTCCCGGCGCCCAGAGCAGCTGCAGCTCCACACCGGTCGATGTCATCGATTAGTTCCTCTCCCCATCCCTGGAGAGGGGAATGGTGTGGGGGGTAGCAGGGAGGAGAGAATAAATATTTCAGCAGGTCCAGGCAAAAGCTGGGGTTATTTTGAGGCTGGGATTTATGGGCTATTAGGAATAAGGAATGAGTCTGTGCTGGGGAGAAGAGACCCATTAATCCAGGCTGAAGGAGCACAAATGAGCAAGGGGAAATGGAGGAGGCTTTAATTATTTTGCCACGTTCTAGAATAATAAGCTGGCCTCTGGCTGGGGGCTGGCCTGGGGCTCAGGAGCTCTGCTGCCCGGGAACTGGGGCAGGTGAGGGGACACTCACGATTAAATCCTCCCCCATTTGTGCTGCGAGGGATGGGCAATCCATTCTGGGACCAGTATGAGACCAGTGCAAGCAGTGCTTCTGGCTGGGACGTGCTGGAGGATGCCCTGCTCGTGGGGGGGAGGCTGCAGGCTGCAGGGACGGCAGGAGGGGCCCGTGGGTCAGTGCCCGGTCCCAGGGGTGCCCTTCCCGGGCTGGGCCAGCCCTGCCACCGCCGTGCCCCGTTAAGGCAATCCCGTCCGCGCCTGTAACCGGAGGAGCTGGGCGCTATCCGGTGCACGGTGAGTCAGTGCCGGAGGCAGCCCTGGGCCGGGAGCATCCCTGGCTCTGCTGCTCCCAGCACCACCTGGGTGACCTTGGCCTCCCCAGCTCACTGCGTCCTCCCCTGCCCTCCTTGCTGCCTCTGCATCCTCCGACGTGACTCAGTTTCCCTGGCTCACCCCTTGA